ATGAATTGCATGAAGTTACAAATATGCTTTGTTTCAGTCACAATATTTTTTTCTTTTTTTGCATATTTTTATTGGAATTTGATTTGCCAACATATAGTATAACACCCAGTGCTCATCCCATCAAGTGCCCCCCTCAGTGCCTGTCACCCAGCCACTCCATCCCCCCTCCCACCTCCCCATCCACTACCCCTTGTTCATAATATTTTTTAAATGGAATTTGTTGCCTACATGTAAATATGAGCAATCTCACTTCTGGTTTCTCTTTTTCAAAGCAGAAATGCCAGAAAACAGCAGGTCCTACATGGCCACCAGAGTAGTTAAGACCTTCCAGCAGCTCCAGTTAAGACCTTAAGAGCTTCCAGGACACCATTAAAGCATACAGATTAGAAAGGAAGAAATAAAATTATCTCTTTGTGCAGATGACACACTTGTGTAGAAAATCCCAAGGCATCTATGGAGAATCCCAAGGAATCTAATGCTAGAACTAATAAATGAGTTTAACAAGTCACAGGATAAAAGACAACACACACAAACACACATATACACACATAAACACACACACACACAATCCTTTTTCTACACTAGTAACAAGCATGTAAAAAGTGAATTGAAACACACAATGCTATTCACATTAGCTCAACAAGAAGATACACCCGGGTGTAAATCTAACAGAACCTGTGCAGCATCCATATACTGCAATTTACAAAACACCGGTGACCAAAACTAAGGAATATTAAAATAAATTGCAGGAGGTACCACGACTACAGAATGGAAGATTCGACATCGCAAAGATGTCAATTTCCCCAATAATGATCTATATGTTTAACATGATTCCTATTAAAGTCCCAGCAAGATCATTTTGGTAGATAAAGACAAGCTTACTTTAAAATTTGTATGCAAAGGTGAAGAAACTAGAACACTTAAAAAATAATTTTGAAAAGAATAAAGTGCATCAAAAGCTTCTCTCTTGTCCACTATTGTGTTCCTGACATTAGACTGTGTGTGTTTTATTACATGGTCGGTATGCGCGTCTTTGGTTGAATTTCTCCTTCAAGGGAGTCCTGGGCCAGTCCCAGCTCTTTTCAGGTGCCATCAGTGGCCCTGCCCTTGCAGAAGCCACGCCAGGGCTCAGGTCCCATACATGGCAGGCCTGCCTGAGAAAGCAGCGCTCAGGACCTCGGAGTATTTTCTGGAAACCAGTGTCACTAGCTCAAGAAAAGCTTGGGCCTGGCAGAGAGGAGAGGGCTGGTCCACACCCAAGTTGAGTGGAGCCAGTGACATGTGCTTGCGGCAGACTGTGGGCACACTTCCAGAACCGACCCATTGACAAGCATTCAAAACCAACCAAATCTTTTCTGGGGACATGTGTCAACACCTGGGATACATAAACACCTATTCACAAAGGGGGGTTATGTAATAAGTGGCTGTTGTATTATATTAAAAAAAGGTGATGACCTTGGAAAGAGGTATTAGAAGAAGAGCAATGACCTTGGAAATAAACGTATTTCTCCTTGAACCTTGGCTGCCTTTTATGAACTGATCTACAGTAAAGAATTTGCATCTCTCTGCATCTTGGTCTCTTGTTTTTATAGGATTGTGATAAGAATTGGATTAGATTACAGGGAAAGCTGGGTAGTACAGTGGTTAGCCCAATTAGGATCAGCTGTCTGCCCCCCTCCCCCTGGGCTGGTGCATAAGACAGTATTCCTGAGTTTCAAAAACGGTGACAATGATGATTCCAAGTGGTCGAGTTCTGTAGGGCTCAGAATGCACTCCCCTGTGGGAAGCATCTTACCATTAACTCCTCCTCCTGTTCGCCTGGGCAAGGATTCTCCATGCTCACCTCCTCCTCTCTTCACTTGAATCCTCATCTCTTCCCTTCCCATCACCAGCCTTGCCCCACACCATTGTCACCCTGACCTGCCCAGCCCCACTCACCTGGGACGCAGAGGAGCAGCAGAGCTGATGGCAGCCACATGGTCCCGTCCCTCTGCTGTCTCTCCAGCTGCAGCTGGAACACTCCTCACCCAGGGGCAACTCAACCTGTCTCCCTCTTCTGCTTTTCTTGGCATTTCTCTGCTTCCTTCTTCAGCCTCTTGGTTCTGTTCTCAGAGTTGCTCAGAAGATGGGGGAAGTGAGGGGCTGAGAGCATCACGTAGTCAGCTGAGGATTCACTAAAGTTCATCCTCAGAAACACATCTCAATGCACAGTTCTTTTTTCTGTTTCCCATGAAGAGGATGCCCTCACCGTGACTTCACCTGTAGCTGACACCCACCTGCCATACAGCTGGGTGGTCATAGCTGATTTCCAGCTAGATTTTCCCAGCAAGCCTCCACCCTGCCTCCCCTCTGAATAGCAAATGTCCTGTGACTGGTGCGGCTGACATGAGCGGTCCTGAGCAGAACAGGCATGACAAAGCCTTCTCTGGACAAGACCAGCTGCTATTTGCAGGGTCCAGTGCAAAATGAAAATACCTTTGTCCCAGAATTACCAATGATTTCCAGATGTTGACAAAGGAGCACTAAATCAAGTCCTTCTGAGAGGGCCCCAGTGGGACGGCAGAGGTGCACCCCCATGAAGCCAGCCCTATCTGTGGCTGTTGCTGGAGCAGAATGTGAAGATGAGTCCCCTTCGGGGTATGCTCTGCTCTTCTCAGCCCCTAGCCCTGGACCCGCTCCTGACCAGGCCTCAATCCTTACCTTTAACCTGTGTGGTTAAATGAGCCCCAAGATTCTCAAGGCTACAAATTTTCAGTATATCATATGAGAACTCAGGTGCACTTGGCCAGAAATGTGCCCAATGACATGAAACAGCCAGGGAGGACTTAAAAGGCAGATGCAAATGTGGAATGTCTTATCCAAGACCCCAGATTCAGGTAAACAGAAAAGTCTACAATTCTGGGGTCTTGTGGTCAAGAATCTCTTAGCTGGATGTTTCAGTAAGTATATTGTCTGCTTGTTCATTATTGCTGTACTGGGAGCCCTCATATATTCTGAGGTCTGTGAGTGGCATCTATGCCAAGCCCCTAGCACCTCCTTGCCCCCAGCATCACCCTCCATGGGTTTTGATGTCTACACTGAGCCACCTCCCATGTGGATGCCCTTGCCACTCTTCTTGGGTCTTTCCACGCCAGCCTGGACTGAGCCTTGGTGAGAAGGACTTCCACACCCTGCTCTGACCCTGACCCCCAACCCCAGCAACTCCTCACTGGGACTTCATCCACACTTGCCTGGACACCAAGCCCCTACATTACCATCTTCCTTTTAACAACAAACTTAGGGGGATCCCTGGGTGGCTCAGTGGTTTAGCGCCTTTGGCCCAGGGTGTGATCCTGGAGTCCCGGGATAGGGTCCCACGTCGGGCTCCCTCCATGGAGCCTGCTTCTCCCTCTGCCTGTGTCTCTACCTCTCTCTTTCTCTCTGTGTCTCTCATGAATACATAAATAAAATCTTTAAAAAAAAAACAACAAACTTAAATTCTCTATTGACTCAGTGCCCTACAGATAAAGATTTTACATCTCATCTATATCTACTCTCCTCATCCCATTCCTGATTTTGTGAGCATAGTGTTCTTTGCGCCTATTGATATTTATAGTCTTTTCTGTAATACTTCCCATCATTGCTTAGGGGTTCTTCTAATTTAAAACATATTCACTGCTGACCTCAGCTTCTCTTTTTTCACTATTTAACTTCCCTCTGTTGACAAAATTTTATCATGATGTGGATCTTCTATTTTTAAATGGCTCATGGGTGCTGTATTTCATAAGACCCTGCATGCCTGAGACTGTTTGTTGTCAGAATATTCCCAGAATATTCTCATTTGCTCAAAGCATGTAGATTTTCCTTCACCGTCCTCTGGGATGGGGTGTGGTTATCACGTCTGAAGCTAGCCTACTTCTGTCTCACACAACGTGCTCCTTCTGGTATGATCTTTTGATTGGGTCATTATTCCTGATACCAGCCATTCGATTCTGTCTTTATCCTAGAGGTTCTGTAACTTCATAGTATCCTGGGTGTGGATCATCTGTACAGTCCTTTCACCGTGTAAACTCTCAATTACAGCCTGAAAGAGCTCTAGTTTCTAATCCAAATCAGTTGCGTTTTACTTTTGGCTTCTCTTTTCTCCTCTAAGGAAATAGCCAGCAAACATTTGTGCCATCACCTCTTTGTGTCCTGTACCTACATCTGCCTCTCCACACTTTGTATATTCTGTTTATTTAAACGTCCCTTTATGAAATTGCCAAAAGAAACTACATCGGTGCATTGTAGGCACATTTATCATTGGGTTTTGGGTTCATTCCCCTGTTTCTTCCTGGCAATGATGTGTCTTTCTCCTCTGCTCCTTGTCTTTCCCAGGTCAGCCTGATTGATTTTCATTTCTCTATTTTGTACTGCACTGTCTTTACACTTCTAGATTCATCCCGTTGTCTATTGTTTCCCTGAGCCTGAATCGAGCTATTCATATGAGCTGATTTCTCTGTTTCTTTGGACATTTCCTCTCATGGTGTATGCTCTTTATTTGCTTTGTGCTAGTATTCTTTTGTTTTTCTTTTCACCTATAAGCCTTTGAAGGTGCTACTCCTCTTTTGAATAAAAGTTGGTATTTGCCAAAGACTAGTGTGGGGAGGGAGGTAACTAGGAGGCTCTGCAAGCTGGAGCAGGCTTTGGCCTGGAACCCCCCCACCAACCCCAAGGGCAGGTGTCTGCTGGTTGTCAGCCCACTTAGCCTCACCTACCTGGTGACTTTCTGCTTGGTGCCTATCACTACTCCTTCTGCCAACTGTCCTTCACCCCCATCCCCTACAGCATTCTCCTCTGCCTGGAGGCCCAGGCCATGCGCAGTCAACATGTCAAGTGTGCCAATCAGAGTGTAAAGACAAAAATTGACAACATCCAATGCTGGGTTTGAGGGCTGACTGTTTATTAACACATTCAGACAAGGGTAGAAATGTTTACAACCTCTTTGATAATATTCATCAAAACTGGAATAATGCACTGATCAGTAACACAGCTATTTTATTATAGGAACATACCTAACAGGTGTAGCCATAAATGGATATCAAGCCACATATGCAGGAGTTTAGTTGCACAATTGTATGTAGTTGCAAAAAACTTAAAACAACTGATATGCCCATCAGGAGTGAAAAAAATTAAACAAATCATGATATGCCGCTATCACGGAATAGTATGAAGCCATTAAAAATATTATACATATTGATATGGAATGATTTTCAAAATACATTCATGAAATTAAGCAAGCTGTAGAACAGTAGACATATTTTACTTTGAGGGAGGGAAAGAATATAAACACAATATATCCTTCAGGGACATAGAATTTCTCCGCCTCTCTCTTACACACACACACACACACACACACACACACACACACACACACACTGGTTACATTCCTCACCTTTGGGTAGCAACTAGAGTAGAAGACACTATAGTATATTTTACTTTATATTCTGTGTACTTTCAAAATATCTTTTTCTAAAAATCCACAAATAAATATAAAAGTTGACGAATCTGCTCAGTTTTTCACAGGCTCCCTCTTTCCGAGGAGATGCCACATTGGTACATGAGAGAAGAGTGCTTCCCTGGGTCAATGGTCAGGTTAACTGAGACCCGCGGTCAGCTCTGGTCTCCTAATCCCACACAAGGATGTGTCTGGATTCACTTGCCTGAGTCCTCCATGGTGTATTGAGAAGTTGGAGCTGGTGTGCTGGATTAAAAATATGCACATCATGGCCTGCTGAATGAGGAGGCAAGTAGCTCCCTAAATAGCTAAGGTCCCACTCTGAACCATTAAACATCCAGGGTCATTTTAATGGAAGGCACACTTCCAATACACCCGCACAAAGGAAAGAGAATCACAAAGTTTGTTGTTTACAGACCTAGGGGAGAGGCACCCAATAAGCCTGAGGAAGGGCAGTCCTCCATCCCAGACCAGGAGCAAACAGGAGACCAAGAGAAGGGTGGCAGTACCTATTACTTATAAGGTGGTCAGGGAAGAGGCCACTGATTCTTCATGGGCTTAACTCCAAGTGCTTATTTTAAAAGGTGCCCCAGGAAAAGCAAAGCAGGATCTTATGGAGGAAATCTAAGGTGAGGCCTTATCTAAATTTCTAGACTTCTGGTGTGAGCAGGACTGCCATACTGTAAAAACACCTGGGGAGCACCTCAGAAAAATAACAGCTGATTTTTCTTATAAGTTCTTTTACTCTCCCAATGTGATCATGGAGAATGTGTGCTTTTTCTTATTGATGGACAAAATGTTCACCTTCAACTCTGATCCAGTAGTTTCAACAAAGATGGTACAGGTATCCAAATCAGCATCTGGACACCATGACTTCATGAAGGTCTCCCACCCTGGGCTATAATGACACTGCTCGGTCACTTGCACATGAAAGTAGAAAGAAGAAAATAATGAATAAGGAAAAAAAATTAGTGAAGTAGAAAGGATATATAAAATAGAGAAGACCAATAAACCCAACAATTTGTTTTTAAACAAAACAAAATCCTAGCAAGATATTCATGATAAAAGGAGAGGTCTGCATAATCTATACTAAGAATGAAAACAGGCACATCACACAATATCCTGAGCATATTGGAAAGGAGAGGTAATAAGGGGATAGAATAGTGAAGACTATCCAAGTGTATCCAAACAAGTTTATGCCAATAAATCTGAAATTTTAGGTGGAATAAACAAATTTCTAGCAAAATAATGTGACATGCTAAAAGAGAAACAAAAAGAAATAGAAATGGGCACCTGCGGGGCTCAGTGGTTGAGCATCTGCTGTTGGCTCAAGTCATGATCCCAGGGTCCTGGGATTGAGTCCCGTATCAGGCTCTCCACAGGGAGCCTGCTTCTCCCTCTGCCTATGTCTCTACCTCTCTCTCTGCATCTCTCATGAATAAATTAATAAAATCTTTTTTATAAAAGAAAACCTGAATCATCTTACAACTGTTAAAAAGAACCCAAGCCAGGATCCCTGGGTGGCGCAGTGGTTTGGCTCTTGCCTTTGGCCCAGGGCGAGATCCTGGAGACCCGGAATCGAATCCCACGTCGGGCTCCCGGTGCATGGAACCTGCTTCTCCCTCTGCCTATGTCTCTGCCTCTCTCTATCTCTCTGTGACTATCATAAATAAATAAAAATTAAAAAAAAATTAAAAAAAAGAACCCAAGCCATTATTAAAAACCTCTTCAAGGAGCTCCTGGTTGACTCAGCAGAGCTTTCAACTCTTGATCTGGAGGTCAGGAGTTCAAGCCCTACCTTGGGAAGAGTTTACTTAATATGAATGAATGAATAAATAGGTATAATTAAGCCTATCCAAAGAAATCTCCAGACCCGCAGAGCTTTGAATGAGATATCCACTAATCATTTAAAGAATGTCTGTCTTATACAAAAAATTCCAGGACATAGGAAAAGAGGATGCAATCTCAAGTCCATTTAATGGGACTAGCATACTCTTAATGCCGAAACCTGACAGAAGGGGAGTGCAAGAAAGAAATTTTATAGGCAAAATCACCCATGAACATAAATGCCAAAGTCTGTAACAAACAATCAGCAAGCTGAATCCAGGATATAAAGGCAAGAGAATACATATTCACCACGTTGGGTTTATCCCAAGGATGCAAAATTGTTTGAATGTGAGAAAATCAGTAAGCATTATATACCATACTTACAGAATCAAGGAGAAAGATTGTATGATTATTTCATTGATGCAGACAAAATTATTGGATGGATTTAAACAGCCCTTTGACTGTGGAGGCCTTCCTGGACCTCAGGAATCAACCACAGCTCCCACACTGTCCTGGGATTCTTCCCTCTCAGACTGGGTATGGAACAGGGGGTAGGAAGAGCCACTCTGAAGTCCTGGCCCCAAACTCCAGAAAGAGCAGGGACACGTGGGCACCAGAGGTCCAGGAAGGCATTAGCAGAAATTGGGATCGCTGGATCTTCTAGAAGGTCCCTTTGGTCCATGGGCTGAAACTGGGACCATCACCTTGATCTCTATGGGCAATAGACTCAGGCACTGCACTGTGCAGAGAAACACGTGCCCAGAACGGCTTGATCTTTTCCTCAAGGACAAGACAGCAGCCATGAGAGCATTTGAGAGAAGCTCTGTCCCTCCCAACCCAAGGGGTCACCTGGGATTCTTGGAGAACTCAGGACTCAACCACCCTGTGTGACAGTTCTCTCTGAGTGACACTTAAGGCACTGGAGAGAATCCTTCAGGTTCTGAAGAGACTCATCCACACACACACATACTCTTACCTGGGTCAATGGTCACTTTAACTTTAACCCTAAGGTCAGGTCCGTATCTTTCAATCCCACACCAGTAAGTGTCTGCATTGTTCCACCTGAGCTCCTCCATGGTCACGGTGAACACACGCAGTTTCTGATTGTCCTTGATAGACACTCGGTCACCCTTTGCTTCCCTCTCTGATCCATCAGTTTGAACTAGGATATGGCAGCTTTTCCACTCAGCTCCTTGACACCACCACTTATTGTGAGTCTCCCATCCGGGTTCATAGCGACACTGCACAGTCAGTGAGCCCCGCACTGGGCCACTCACTGCATCGGACACTGCCATGAGGGCAGGTGAGCCTGAAAAACACAAACCCAGGTGCCTGTCACCACCCCATCCCACCCCCTGAAGGCAGACCCACAGCCTCCTGCATCACAAATAACTCCAATAAGCCCAAGTGCCTGATGAGTTGAGTAACAGTCAAAGAGGGGATACACTTTCCACAAGACAGACCTTTGTCTTTCAAAACTCCACTGGGTCAAAGCCATCACAAAAATCCCCTAAGAGATTTCTCACAGAAACAAAAATGTCCACACTGAGCAGTGGCAACTTCCTGTAATCCACCCCTTTCCTTCCCCATGACCAATGTCACCTGGACAGCAAATGACCCCTGGGAAAGCATGGCTCCAGTTCACTTCAGGCCATTGTCCTCATGCAAAATGTAGGCTCTGTGGTTTCAGATCTTTTCATTTTTCTAGAGTAGTCAGGAATCCAGATTTTGTATGGAACCTCTCAATTTTAAAGCACTGGTTTCATTAGAAAACTTTTTATTTCCTATGTTATTAATTTCTCAGTAGAGGATGACCCCAGAAACCCTGCCTGCCAGCTGGCCCTGGCCAATAGTGCTCAGCTCCAGCTCAAGAGTCCTAAGGAAGGCTCTTCTCTATAATTTTCGTTGTGCTGTCTGCTGAGGTTTGATATCACAGATGCTCCTTTCACAAAATTATCCTGGCAGATTTCCATCTTTTTCATTTCCTGAGATCATCACATCAATAGAGCAAAAAAAAAAAAATTCTGTGTCTTTAGAATCCTAAGAAACTATCTACAAAACTATATACAAAACTAACTACAAAACAAATTAATTGCTGGGACAAATTTTTTGGTTCTTGGAAATTGTTTTCCCCTGAATATTGACGATTCAAGTTCTTCGATGGTTCTTTAATCCATTCTATTGTTCTGGTTTGTTTTTTCTAGGAAGTCCTAGTTCACGGAGTTTGTATTTGCACAAAGTCCTGCAGTTAGAAAGTATCCTTTAATAATTCAAATGTTTGTTTCTGTTTTAATTACATATTCAAACCCCATGCGCCGTCTGATTTGGGTGGATTACACCTGCTGTGGGATGTCCTCCTCCTGTTTCTCCTCCTCTCCTCCATGTTTTTTCCCTATTAAACCAGCTTTGAGATTAGTTCGTGTTACTGTTTTTGTTTCCTGTCATTACTTTCTCATATGTGTAATTTTATTCGTCTTTTCTCAAGAATACCAGTAGTGCTCTTTTTCCAACTGTTAAGTTAAAGACAATGAGAATTTTCTCCCTTTCTAAAATGAATTAAAGCATTTTAAGGCTCAGAGTTTACTTTTGTTGACTTTATAGGTTGAGATATAATTCACATATCACAAATTTTAAGTGTAGCCTTCGGTGGCTTTTAGGACTTTCACAAAGTTGTGCCACCATCACCTCTAATTCCAGAACATTTTGTCACTGCAGAAGGAAACCCTGTACCCCTTGTCGTTCCCCACTTCCCTCTTACCTGAAGCCTTCCACAACCACGGATCTACGTTCTGTCTATAGATTTCTCTATTCTGGACACTTCTTATACATGGAATCCTTCAATCCATGACCTTTTTGTCTGGCTTCATTCACTTAGTGTAATGTGTGTTAAGGCTCATCCATGTGGTAGCACGTGTGGGCACTGCAGTCCATGGCAGGGACTGGCCACATTTAGCTTATCCGTTCACCAGCTGATGAATCATGGGTTGTTTGACTTTTTGGCCAGCGAAAATCTTGCTATGACCAGTCATATACTAGTATCTGCATTGACTCATGGTGAGGGAAGGTGATGCTGTGTTTGCAGCCAAAGTCCCAGGATGGGTTTTCTCAAGAGTCCATAAGAAGCTGCTGTGATTCTGAAAATTCTCTGAGAAAATGCCACTAATTATCTTCAGTCTCCACCAGCAGAGTAAAGGTTCCTGGGTATGTGACAGGAAGCCACTCTGAATCTCTCATCTACCCAAGCCACTTTAGCAGCCTCCAGAGAGTGAGACTGTTCTCCTGCCCTCTAAATCTCTGACACCTGCTTCCATGGGCAAACTCCATCCCATTGAAGGAAGGGGACTGGGGGAAAGGTGATTCCCAGGTTTGGGGCAGTGATGCAGAAGAGGACTTAGAGGGGGTGGTAGTGATGTCAAAGTGACAACAGATGAGCTAGCGCTATTCACCCCTTGATCAATTCTGCCTCTAGATTGTCGAGGACAATGTTTCCTAAATTCCTATGTTGGAGTTGTAAGCTCCAACGGGATGGTATTGGAAGATGGGGCCTTTGGGAAGTCATTCAGGTTAGAGGAGATAGAGATGGGGACGTCAAGATGGGATCGGTGCTCTTGTAAGAAAAGTCACCAGAGAGCTTCTCTCTCCTTCTTCCTCTCTGTCTCTGTCTCCTGATCTCCCTGTCTCTCCTTGCCTGGGCACAAGGTGAAGGTCACTGTGAGAAGGTGGCTGTCTGAAACCCAGAATGAGAGCTTTCATCACAAACTGAATCTGCTTGCACTTTGATCTGGGTGGCCCAGCATTGAGAACTGTGAGAAAAGAAATTTCTCTAGTTTAAGCTTTAAGCCTGTGGCTTTTGCTCTTATGACTCATATGCATATGTAATCTTTTATCCACATGAACCTCCAAATTAAGAAAATAGTAGTATGTGGGGCACCTGAGTGGTTCAGTGCGTTCTGTGGCTGATTCTTGATTTTCACTCAGGTCATGATATCAGGGTCCTGAGATTGAGCTCCATGCTGGGCTCCATACTCAGCACGGAGTCTGCTTGAGATCCTCTCCCTCTGCCCCTCCTCCCACTCACCGTGTGTGTGTGTGTGTGTGTGTGTGTGTCTTTCTGTCTTTCTCTGTGTCTAAAATTTAAAATAATTCATAGAAAAAAGAAAAAGAATATATTGACATGGACATTTTACCATTAAATGTTCTGCATGCAAATCTCTCATTCAGAGTTGTTTTACTTCCACTTCTATGATGAGAAGTCAATGGATGAGTAAATGGGGTCATTTTATGTCCCAGGATGACCCCCTTCCCAGAGGAGACACTGTCTGGATCCTGCCCCAGGCCCTGTGGTTCTGGAGGTTGAGAAGCAACAGAGCTTGGGCAGCCAAATGGTCCTGCCATACTAGCTTTTGTCTTCTCTGAGCATCAGACACCAGCTGCATCTAAAGATTTGCCATCCAGCCCTTCTAATCTCTGGTCTTCCCTTCCCAGGAATGCCACTCAATAAGTCTCGCTGGTTGTGCTAATGACACTGGATGAGTGTCTGGTCTTTGGCTCATCTGGAGCAGGGACTCAGGCAGCCTGATGTGTGGGGCTGAGCAACTGTCCAAAGAGCCCATCACACCCTGCTTTTGCTGCTTGTCTTCCTCCCTCTCCCTGAGCTCTTCAGAAGAGAGAATCTTGACTCTAGCTACAAGTCAAGACCAGGTGTGCAGGGTTTTAAATCATACAGATGCCTGAACCTCATGTTCACTGAATGGTTCTGAGTTGGAGCTGAGTTTCTAGGCTGCTTCAGAGTTCCTAAGAATTCATGCATTTACGTATGTGTGTATAAATGTGCATGAATCCTCCTATCATCTATCTATCTATCTATCTATCTATCTATCTATCTATCTATGACCCATCAATACATTCATCATCTGTCTATCCACCTATGTGCCAGGGATGGCAAACAGAGCTCTAGAAAGCAGACACTGTTTGTGTTATTTATTTTTATTTTTTTCTCCAAAACCTAACTTAGTACCGGTCTGGTAGCAAAAACTTTAAAGATTTTTTTAAAAAATAAGTAATCTCTATATGAATGAAGGGCCCTACCATTTCCCCCACAACATACCCTATCCGCATCCCATATCTGAACGCAGGTGCTCCGCCCTGAAGCCCCCACCCTACTCACCTCTGACGACAGGAAGGAAGAGAATCAAGAGCAGCCACATATCCTGCCTGCCTGGGTTGTCTCACTGGTGCTCAGCTAATGCCCACTGCTCTCCAGGGACTGGAACTGAGCTCAGAGGCAAAATGCATTCTCTTTCTCTAAATTATTCTTTTATAGTTTCTCTCATCTACTTCCCTTAATTTTTTTCTTCAGTTACTTCCTAATTTCAAAAATTAGGAGAAAGGCAGTGCCATCCTTTGGGAGCCTGTGGCTGATGTGATGATGTGTCTTTGATGCTTTGGGGAAGCAAAGTGTCACACTGGCCAGGGTGCCACTTGCCAGTGTGCCTGGGGAGCTGGGAAGCTGCTGCCAGCAAACCAGGGCACACAGTGCAGCAAGGCAGAGACACTAGACCCTCAGAGTGTTGGTCCAAGGAAGTGATGGAGGCATGTTGGGTCTGCACGTGGGGAGGAATGCAGTGCTTAGGGCTCATACCCCAGCATTGCTGCAAACAGCCCCATCCTAACCCTCCTTCTGGGCAACTCACCTTGATGCATCCCAGTCCACCACTCCCACCCTAGGCCCTGGACCAGCCCTGAGCCTGACCTGCAGGCCCCTTCATCTCAGGCTCCCCCCTGAGATTCTCTGCCCTTCTGAGACAGAGAAGAGATTTTAAAAGGAAGGAGAAGTAGCCTTTTCCAATCAGCTTCATTGTGGCCTAGACACTTCCTCTGCCACCTCTAGCAGTGTTTCCCCTGGCTGTGGACTATGCTGCTTCCCAGCTCAAAATGTTTATGCAAATGCCTTCCTAAGTGACTTTCCCACAGGGCTCTCCTCTTCCTTCACATGTCATCTCCCCCTCTGTCCTCTGTTCCCTTTCCCTTCTACTCTGAGTTAATTCTTCTGTCCCCCATTTTTTTAATAATAAATTTATTTTTTATTGGTGTTCAATTTGCCAACATACAGAATAACACCCAGTGCTCATCCCATCAAGTGCCCCCCTCAGTGCCTGTCACCCATTCGCCCCCACCCCCCGCCCTCCTCCCCTTCCACCACCCCTAGTTCGTTTCCCAGAGTTAGGAGTCTTTATGTTCTGTCCCCTTTCTGATATTTCCTACCCATTTCTTCTCCCTTCCCTTCTATTCATTTTCACTATTATTTATATTCTCCAAATGAATGAGAACATATAATGTTTGTCCTTCTCTGATTGACTTATTTCACTCAGCATAATACCCTCCAGTTCCATCCACATTGAAGCAAATGGTGGGTATTTGTCATTTCTAATGGCTGAGGAATATTCCATTGTATACAGAAACCACATCTTCTTTATCCATTCATCTCTCGATGGACACCAAGGCTCCTTCCACAGTTTAGCTATTGTAGACATTGCTGCTATAAACCTCAGGGTGCAGGTGTCCCAGCGTTTCATTGCATCTGTATCTTTGGGGTAAATCCCTATCAATGCAATTGCTGGGTCGTAGGGCAGGTTTATTTTTAACTCTTTGAGGAAACTCCACACAGTTTTCCAGAGTGGCTGCACCATATCACATTCCCACCAACAGTTTAAGAGGGTTCCCTTTTTTCCGCATCCTCTCCAACATTTGTGGTTTCCCACAAAAACAGATACATAGATCAATGAAACAGAATAGAGAATCCAGAAGTGGACCCTCAACTTTATGGTCAATTAATATACGATAAAGGAGGAAAGACTATCCACTGGAAAAAAAAACAGTCTCTTCAATAAATGGTGCTGGAAAAATTGGACATCCACATGCAGAAGAATGAAACTAGACCACTCCCTTTCACCATACACAAAGATAAACTCAAAATGGATGAAAGATCTAAATGTGAGACAAGATTCCATCAAAATCCTAGAGGAGAACACAGGCAACACCCTTTTTGAACTCGGCCACAGTAACTTCTTGCAAGATACATCCATGAAGGCAAAAGAAACAAAAGCAAAAATGAACTATTGGGACTTCATCAAGATAAGAAGCTTTTGCACAGCAAAGGATACAGTCAACAAAACTAAAAGACAACCTACAGAATGGGAGAAGATATTTGCAAATGACCTATCAGATAAAGGGCTAGTTTCCAAGATCTATAAAGAACTTATTAAACTCAACACCAAAGAAACAAACAATCCAATCATGAAATGGGCAAAAGACATGAAGAGAAATCTCACAGAGGAAGACACAGACATGGCCAACACGCACATGAGAAAATGCTCTGCATCACTTGCCATCAGGGAAATACAAATCAAAACCACAATGAGATACCACCTCACACCAGTGAAAATGGGGAAAATTTTTTTGTTTCTCATGTTTGTGAGTTTGTTCTAACTTTTGGGACAGTTTCATTTTCTGATTCTACTTTCTCAATCTTTGGATGAAATATTTAGTATAGGAATGATATTTTTGGTTCAAAACTCCTTTTTGTTCTCTGCTTGCTGAAATTTTTGAAACTCTCCTCACTCTGTGGTCATGTGTTGGTTTGGTCTGCTCTGGTCTGGTCCTTCTCCCCACGTGCCTCAAACGACTGATCATTGTTGGCCGCCTCAACGTGATGGAGAATGAGCCAGAACATAGCTGACTGGGGCTCTGAGTATGTGGGGACAATGCAGAGTGTGAAACAGGGGTGTTGCAGTGTGCCAAGTTCTTTGAGCCTCCCATGCCTTCTAGACCTACAGCCTGTGCCTTCTTGGTAGAGGGAAAGAAAGGTCTTCTACGTTCCAGAATGAAGAGGACTGAAGGTGACCCCCAGCATCCTCTCTAGCTGCCTTGGATTCCCCACATATTTTATGAAGTTAGAGAATCTCCCTGAGGATGGGAATGTTTCTTTCTTGATCTAGGTGCTGGTTCATAGGTGTGTTTTCTTTATGCGAATATATTGAGCTGTGTGCTTCTGATGCGTGCACTTTCTGTGTGAATTTTATACTCCAATACAAAGGTTTTATTTTTTTAAAAAAGATTTTATGTATTTATTCATAATAGACACACAGAGAGAGAGAGAGAGGCAGAGACACAGGCAGAGGGAGAAGCAGACTCCATGCAGGGTGCCTAACGTGGGACTCAATCCCAGGACTCCAGGAACACACCCTGGGCCGAAGGCAGGAGCCAAACCACTGAGCCACCCAGAGATCCCCCCAATACAAAGATTTTAAAATTACTGTGAAATCTCTCCAAGCCGTTACACTTGTGCTTACTTACCCTTTAACTAGCAGCCTTGGTGTTTCATTATGTGGCTTTAGTAGGCGTAACTAACTATTCCTGTATTCTTGGCCATTGTCCCTATTCCCAGATCTGCTCTTGCAAATCTGTGCTGCAGGCTTCCAGTCCAGGTGAGAAGAGTGTCACACGCCACAGACCTCTCCCCCGACTACAGCTAAGAACCCAGACAGGGTACATGGAGCAGCCATCTGAGCAGTCGGCAAAATGAACCTCAGCAGGAGATGAGAAGGGAACCAGACCAAGTATAGGAGCAACGCCGCTGTGAGTTCTCTGTTTATGTTTCCTTCCTTATCCTCCTTTTTTTAAATAAATTTATTTTTTATTGGTGTTCAATTTGCCAACATATAGAATAACACCCAGTGCTCATCCCATCAAGTGCCCCCCTCATGCCCGTCACCCAGTCACCCCCACCCTCCTGCCTGAGCGTGAACCATGCAGCTCAAATCCTGAAAGTATATGCCCAGCAGGGACCCTAAGAGCTCTGGATGCACAGAGAAAAGATGACCTCAGGGAAGAGGGAGGTCCGATTCCAGGACTTTTCTCGGTTGTGTTTTCTTTCCCTCCCACCAGGTCCCCACAAGCCTCTGGACAGAAGCTACAATTCCACCTGCAGCCGCCAGGGGCCGACAGCGGCAACTCAGGAGAGTCCTTGCTGCCCAAAAGAGCTAGGGTCCCAGAGCTGGTCCCAGACCTGGGGGATCCTCCAGGGTTCCCAGACCTGGCGGGTAGGGTGGGGGGGAACGGATGACTATCACTGCATCTTCTCTCTCTCTCTCCTCTTTCTGCTTGGCCCTGGAAACAAACCCAACCACAGGAAGTACATGGCAGACTGGGGAGAGAAAAGCCTCAGCTTGCAAAGCTTCCCAGGCAAAGGACCAGGAAGGGAGGGGGTGGAGGCTCTGAAAGCTGGGAGGTGATGTTTGGGGGGGATGGACAAGCGGAAGCCCCTGGAAAAACGCACCCTAGACCACCGAGACTCGCACCCCAGCTGCGTGCACCTGACCAGAGCCCCTGAGGGAGCACCCTCTTAGAGAGCTTTGGGGGAAGATCCCCGCCAGTCACAGGCCGACCCCTGGAGGGCTCACGCAGGGCACTTCGGAGGAGCACCTGCAGGCCTCCAGAAAGCTGAGCCAGCGCACGTGGCAGCACAGCCCAGGAAGCCACCTCAGCACCTGAAGTCCCAACCTCAGCAGCTGGACTGCCTGCCATCAGAGAAACGGAAGTCCTAGTTACAGACCCTTCTGGTGAGGGGATAGCATTGCTTTGCATGTTTGCAAAGGGTGGTTCCCTGTGAATCGTGTGTGTGTTCAACACGTAGAACTGAAATCCACCTCAAAATTGTACCACGTGTAAAATTTGAGAAGCACTAAAGACAAGAAAAACGTTTCAAACTGTGCACTTTAAGTGGGTGAGGTTTATTTTATCAAATTACACCGCAGTAGAACCTGAGAAAGGGTGGGAGGGAAAAGTTTGAAGGGAGGCCTATGTTCCTGCCCCCCACACACACCTTCATAAATTCTTTGTCTCAGGTGGAAACCCCAGGGTTCGCTGAGACCCCCAATCACAGAAGGCTCAGCCCTCACACGTGGACACAAACAGGTCCAGGGACTGAAGGCAGGTGGCCCCTAGATGGGCCACTTTGGCATGATGATTACTCTGAGCTGAAGGCCCTCAAAGACACCACCAGCTCCAGGGAAACTCTTGCCCCTCCCTTATCTACATAGAGCATTCTCAGTTGCAGAGTCTTTGAAGAATAAGGGTCATTGCCAGGGATAAATGTTATCTGAGTAGCCCAACTACACGGCAGGGCAAATATTTGTTTACCAAACATTTACTGGTTTTCCTCTTCCTGTGAATTGCTTTCCTTCTCTTTGGAGT